GAGTTTTCAGCCGAAAAGTATGCGAACTTCGAGAAGTCGAGAAGTATGCTAAGCTAAGGAAATATTTGGTAGTCAACGACCCAAAACTGCCATCCGAAACAGTGTATCCATCAACAATCGAAAGGCGAACTGGGACTATTTTACGGGGTATGCGAATTGCTAATTTGCGCTAATTTTCGGAATCCCTTGGGTATTGAGTCATGCTGCTGCTACAACAACAGCCAGCCCCTGTTAAGGGGATGTGCCTGGTACTCTGATCATTTTGAATATACAATATTGTGATATTGATATTGAAGAAGCAATGCCGAGCTCAGATTTTTTGCGTACTACATATTTCGTCATAATTTGTCCAAAAAATTAACATTGTTTGCAACCGTAAATTGCTAATACATATGCATGTACATAAGTATTTAATTCATTTAATTTCTTCAAAAATATTTTTCAACCTTGACAGCGAATTCCTCGAATGTCTATTATAGATAGTATACTATATTATTATCACAGCTATGTTTGACCTTCTTTGACTTCTCGCTTAAGTTTACAATTTTATTCATAAAAATTGACACGCAAGTAAACGCATGCGAGTGTCCGACGAGTGAGTAAACAAATCTGAATGATAGAAACTACGTAATTTTAACTAATAAACTGTAATAAAAACCTGCGAACAAGGTTGTTTATAAAATAGCTGCGATGAATCATCATCCAAATTCCTCGAAATGAATAAGCTGGACTTTCCAATACACTTGCAAAAAAAAACATATCACAGAACTGTGTTAAATTAGCACAATTGACGAAAAGCTGAGCTTGACCAACGTCACAGCTCTCACTCGTACGCTATTGGCCGGTGGCGGTGGTTCTGCGGTGTGGCTATCAGCCGTCACGCGTACTCGTGTGTCCGACATGTGCTCATCTAAGTGCGGTTAGCGCGCGAAGCTTTCATTCATGTTTATTTATTTCTCTGCGTGCTGCCCACCTCCACCAACCACCAATTTTTTCCATGCGCATGTCAGCCAATGTGTCGTCTAGCTGCATCGTTGGCGTGTGACTCCTCGCTGGAATGCCACCAGCGTCGGAGCTTACGCGTACGGCGTTGCTAATGCAGTGTACCATCTTCTTTCATGACTTTCGCCCAAAACGGTGCTGACTCATCCATCGCACACGTTCAAGCTTCATTGGCACGACAAATGGAGTGGAGTGGAGTGGAGTGGAGTGGAGTGAAATGCGGCGTGCGACCCAGAGCGCGTCATCAACCAAACGCCCTAATGCATCGCCACTTGATCATGCCAATTTCCAACGCCACAGCGAATTCCATAGCTACTTCATACATACATACATAAAAATTAGCGAAGGCCTGGCGCAACAATTTGCAAGAGAGAAATTTTAAATCAAAATCTTTGGCCATGAGTCACTGACGCTGCACGCGCTGGAGCTGGTCGCTGGTTCCGTTTGAGGCGGCGCTCACTAGTGCCTTGCTTTGCTTGACTAGTGTCTTTGCATACAGTTTTTTTCCCTGTTTTTTTTTTTTTGCTGATTCGTTCTTGGCAAATTTCTCACGTTCTTTCGCGCTCTCACGATAAAAATTGGCATGATAGAGACGACCTCCGTGACTGCATATGCGTCGCCGCAAGCGGATCAAGGCTTATTAGTAAAGTGCGTTTGCATCCGGGAGGTGAATATGGCACCTTAGGGATTTTTAATGTTGATGGTAAAGGTATGATTCATAGCGGCATGAGCATAAGCATTTAACATTTTATGCCGTTCGTAAAATGTAAGTTCTTATAGCCGTAGCTGAAGATCGATCAAAATTACTAACAGATATCTCCCTTCAGCGGGACAAGCCTGCAAAACCAACCTATAACAAACACCAAATGAGAAAGCTTTCAGACAAATTTATTTCTAAATATTTTTAAAGAGGGTTGCCACCTGTTAAGAAATTCAAATACAATATACTTAAAAGGTCAAACGAAATGTTTTAATATGGGTATCAAACGAGAGAGGGTTAAGAAAACTTTCTTTCGCAAATACTTGGTTAAGAGAGTTGCCACCCGTTCAGAAATTTAAAACTGTTTTAAGCAAACCTACTAATATTATAAATATGAAAGTTTGTGAGTTAGTGAGTGTATATGTTTGTTGATAAGATGAGGACTCTTACTGCAGATCTGTTGAGTTTCAGTATGTCCCCTGCCTTTTTCCTACTAATCCGCGGCCACAATAATCTTGTGGTTTTAAAGTCTTCCCGCTTATTCCACAAGTAATTCGTCACGGCCACGGTGTACTCATTAATTTTCCTAACGTGATCCCTAAACGGATGTAGTACGTAGCTATCCGCTACTTTTATGGGCATATCTGAGTCGCATCTGGTCATCTCATCAGCCGACTCATTTTCTTCAATATTACTATGTCCGGGAACCCAGCATAGAGTGACGTTGATGCGGCTCAGTGATGCCAGCGTGGTGCGACCATTCCATGCGATTTCAAAAATAAAATAATGGCTTTGTCTTCTGGAAGTCTACTACATACTAAGTAAAAGATTAGCCTCCCTCTCTATAGCGTAGATCTCCGCTTGGAATACACTGCAGTCGTTCGGTAGGCAAAAGAACCAGTTGATCTGCAGGTCCTTCGAGTAGACACCGCCTCCGGTTCCTTGTTTCATCTTTGAACCGTCATTGTAGATGGATATACCACCCTCATCATATCATGTTAAGCCCTTCCTGAGGTGCGCTACTCACTGCCACCCGATATGCCAAAGCATACAAGTCTTTGCACTTTTCCTATTATTTTCTTGTTGCTCCCTTTGTCTAGAGCCTTCCACTATACCAAGGATCCATAGGTGATGTACGGTGATAAACTGCTGCTATAGATTTCTTGGCTTCCTCCTCTAATTTCTTTTTCCAATTCAACTTGGAGTCCAGAATAATTCCAAGGTATTGTGCCTCGGAGGAGAGTTTCAAAGTAGATTAACCAAAGTAAACAACAAATTAAAAATTTTTATCTACATAATGTTTAGATTTCAAAATTTTTAGCGTGAATTTTTAGAATATTTTTGTATATCTTGGAAAAATTGGGTATAAAGTATTTTTATAATATTATTTTTTTGCTTTAATTTATCGTGATCTGACCTAATGAACAACTGTTTAGACAAAAGTAACAAAATTTGCTTTGCTGTCGTCGTGTCAAGCGAAACTTAGTTTACCAGAGTGTTGCTTATAGAAAACAAAATTTATGCAACAACGCAATTGAAAGTCAAGAAATGTCCAATTATGTGTAATTTATGCGCCTATATTAGAATTTCTAATACAGTTTTTCTCAAAAAAAATACCCTTGAACCTGAACCTTTGACAATAAGAAAAAAATGTAAACTATATTTAAAATGTATCGCAAGCACTGAAATACATACAAATGTACACACATATTTACATGTGTATGCATGCTTGTACAGGCATAACATAATCGCGAAATTAAACACCTAAATTCACTCGAATTTAGAAAACCCCAAACAAAACACGTAAATAGTGTACGTTAGTTGACAGCGACACATTTTATGGAAAAATAAGTTAAATTAATGCCAGAATCAGAGTAGAGGAGGAAAGAAGCACAAGCCCGAATCCGGCGAAAAAATAATGACATAATTGTCATTGTAAGTAGGAATATGTATATGTACATAAATATGTAGTCGGGCGTTTTTTTTCGTATGTAAATTTATATTAGTTAAATATGTACGTACTTAGTATTTATTGTACTCTAACGATTTAGGTAACTCAAAGGGGGACTTTGCTCATTGAACGTTGATGCGCGCACGACGCTAATCAGTAGCTACAAATAATAAATAAGTATGTATATTTATAGTATAGAATAACCCAGTCAACAAAAATCAATAATAATACACTAGCGGTCATTTGAATTACGCTACCTTCTGATCCTCAGTATTGACACTATTAATTTTGTTTATTTAAAATTCAAGCATTTATGTATAAATAAATTTATTTATTTTTTTTAATTTTGATAAATATATTATAAAAACTTTGTGCGAAGTTTGAAAATCGTATTTACATGGGTTTTGTTATAGAAGGATATTCTATTCATCAAAATTTTAAACATAAACAAGTAATTTTGAAGCAAAAAAAAAACAACCGACTTCAATTCTCATATAAAAATTTAGGAGTACCGTTAATTTTTGCATGATCCAATGATCGGATCTAAACCAAATTAGTATTAGATCTCCTGTGAGACATTACCTTTCCGATAGAATTATCGAAATCGGTTGACGTGGTCCAAATTTATGCAGTAACATACATAGAAAAAAAATATTCCGACGAATTCATAACCTTCTCCTTCGATTGAAAATATAATTACATATTTGTTTTTTGTATTTTTTTTTTATAACAATGATATTCAACAATTTGAAAAATTTATTCTGGCATGAGAATAAAGGAGTAGTGTAGTCGGAAGTTCAAAATAAGTTCTAGTGAATTTTTATGATTCAAAGTTAGAGCCCTGTTGATAATCCCAAATCGAAGGCGCGAAGAATTCTAAAAATTATCCACAAGAAATCTTAATAAAATCTTAAAAACCCCCAAATACAACCACACCGTTCATTTTGTTATCCATTACCAAAATCAAAAACACAGAGAACCCCGAGAAGTCCCAAAACAAATCGGGAAGTGTCCTAAGAATACCAAAAGTTCACGAAAAGTAAAGCACAAAAATGCCGAACAGTCAAGAAAATATTCTGAGCGAATCAGAAAAGTCTCGACTTTTTTCATTCGAAAATCATAAAATAATAATCTGCCATTGGTGGCTTACATGGCGCTGAATAAAATCATCAATTTTAAACATCCTCGTGAAGAGTACTCTCTCGTTCTTGATGGAGTCAACTCTCCACCCTGTCATTTACCATCCATTTCAACTTGCATATATAGAGAAGCCTCAAAAACAATTATGTGCGACATTTTTTAAACCAAATCAAATTAACTCTTTATCACTTGTCGAGCGAGACTCACCTTCATATATGGCTGAACATGATTTATGGGTTTACTGGGTAGATTTCCATTTGCGCGCTTGCTGTATTCTGTGCTGCCTTCTGTGTCTGTGCTCTCATCTGCAGCTGTAATGATGACCTTCACGGGAGATTTTAAGTTCTTCGTTGCTATTCCCTCAGCCATCGTTTTCGTTGCTGATGCAGCTGATGCATAATTCACTGCTGTTTGCGGCGCTGATAAGAACAAAGCTTTCAAATCATTTACGGAACAACGTTCGGTGCCGCCGCCTTTGCCAATATTTTTCTTGATTGTATAGTGATTTTGCTGTGTGCTCTTATTTTTAAAATCTCTACTATCTTCCTCCCCATAGCGGCTTTCACTATTCGCTGTGCCCGTACGCGCTTTCATTAGTTTCGCAAATTCTTGTTCGATTGTCGAGATTGTTGGTGTGCGCTTCGAAGCGGCTGCAGTTGCTGCCGGACTTGTTTGCGACGGCGGCGTTCCTGTTTGCCCACCGTCTGGCGGTGTTCTCACTATCGTTGGTGTCGTTGTTGTTGTTGTGGATCTCGGCAGTGTATTTGTTTTCATATTTATCGCTTGTCGCTGCTGCTGTCGACTGGTTGTTTTGCTGGTGGCGGCGGTGGTGCTGATATTGCGTATTGTTGTTGCGCTAGCTTGTTCGTGCCTGGATGATGATGATGACAGAATCGTTGTCATCGTTAATGGCGTGTTGGGCGAGGTTTTCGCTGCTGTTGTTGTCGTTGTCGTTGTCGTTGTCGTTGGAGCTGCTAGTGCTGGCAAAGATGATGTTGATGCAGTCGTGCTGATTTTCGATCTTGCTGGCGTTGAGTTTGTTGTTGCTGTCGTAAAGTCTACTAATTCGTCCAGCGCTGCAATAGTTTTAGCAGCAGCAGCAGCTGGCGTCGTTGCTGTATTTATGGGTGTTTTCAATGTTGTTGTAGCCTCCTCCGTTGAAGATCTGGTTGCTGTTGTATCGCCGCTGGATTTCGACTTACGCGACACGCAATTCAGTGACATTCGCCGATTGCCGGAACTCTTGAAAAATCCACTTGGACTGCGATTATGACTCTGTCCACGTTCGGTTTTGTTGTTTTTATTGTTATTGCTGTTGCTGTTGTCTGGCAGTTGCAAAGACGAATTTTTACACCAAAAACTACTCATACGATTGCCCATGCCGAAGCGTCGTCGTAAACACCTAGCGTCCTTTGTGAAGGGTGAGCGGTGGCAAAGAAAAACTTTTTAGGAGAAGGAAAGGGACTGGATTTTGGCTTAAAAGTATTCTCTATATATTTTTTTTCTTTTCGCTATGCACTAATGAGTAAAATTATTTATATTCACGCGCGTGTTTTTTTTTTTTTGGGATTTGCGTCACATCTTCTTCAAGTACTATACGAAAACAACAACAACAATGTAGCAACAAATGTGCGCTGACGTTTTTGCGCCTTAAAATATGCACTGAGTGAGGTCACCGTATGGCGCGTTTTGCGTAATTTTGAAATAAAAGCGCTGCGCTAGCGTTTTCTTTTTTTGCTTATTTTTTATAAAAAAATAAATTATTCGAAATTGAAAAACATTTAATAAATGTTCGTTAGTTTTATCGTATAAATTTGTATGTTCGTTTGTCACTTGCGCGTTTCTGCGTATATTCGTAAATTCATACTGGGTGGCGCGGCGTACAAAAATATTGTATTAATTGACGAACCGGCGCGAATCTCAATTCAGCAAATACTGAAATGGGAATTCTTTCAAAACCTCGCCGCAAGTCACACCGCTTGTTCAGCGCGCAACGCCAAGCATTCAGTTTGACGCTCGTGTGCTACGCAAACAAGCGCGCACACACACACACACACACACACATGCGACATGCATACATACATGAAAAATGCAAAGAACAAACAAAACGAGCGTGGAATGAGCCAAACGACCAACTAACCAGCCAGCCAGGCAGCCAACGAAATAACCAGCCAGGCAGTTAGCCTGCTAGTGATATGAGCGGCACCCTCGAGCGCCGTTCACGCCGCACCCACTGCCAATCCAGCCGCTGTCCCGCTAACACTTTGGCTTCACATATCTACACAGATATTAATTTACGCGCATATCTTTGTTGTTGCTACTACTTTGTAATCGATTCTGGTTGGTTTGTTTTGTTTTGCCATTTTTATTCGTTGGTTTTTTTTCGTTTTGTTTTGTAATTCGCGTCTTCCTCTTGCGCTTAGTAGCCGAATTATCGAATTTTTTTTCAAATACTAACAAAAGCAATTCCTCAAGCGACGTGTATAACTAGCGCGCTCGACAATCAAATTAATAAATCTGGCGCGTTCAATAGCGCGCAACGCATACAAAGTGAAATATTAGGAAAAAAATTAGAAAATAAATATACAAAGCAGTAAATTCAAAAGAAAAGAGCGAAAATCGAATTACTGTACTATGGAAATTGAATTCGAAATATGTAAGTTGGTCGCATTTGTTGTGTCTGCCAGTGGCATGAAGTAGTGCAGCAGCAGCAATTCGCCGAAGCGACGCGGCGGGCGTTGGGTTGGCTCTGGTTGTAGTGGACGGCCGTTTGGAAGGCAATGCATGCGTGTGTGTGCGCGCTGCACTTTGAGGTCAAAATTTGCAATGCACCGACGACGATAACTGTGGTCTATAAATAGCGCGCGCGCACCACCTAACTAATTAACTACTTCCTCAATCACTTAGCACTGACGCAATGCGAGGAGTCAGCGCTGGCGTTAAAGCTAAAAAAAAAATTAGCACTCCAAACTTCTTTGAGGCCAACTACACGGAAATGGTGTTGAAACGCGCGCACGCAGGCACCCACTTAGCCACACCGCGCCAGTGCCATAACTCAAATAGTCATTTAGCGCCCGCATACGCCCTGTCGCCCTTTTTGCGTAGCCGTAGGTGCCGTGCAGCCAGAGTAGGGTGCGCCTTGAAATTTTGCCTGCTTTTTATGCGCGTGAATGCCTGGTCAATAACGACAACAACGTCATTATCATTAGAAATTCCACTTGCTCTGCCCCACTTTTAACTTCATCATCCCTTTAGCGTTCATTATCGCCGCACATTGTTGTTCGCACGCAGGTGTCACTGTTAAGCGCTATGTGGCCTTAAGCTACACGGACGGACGGGATGACCAAAGTGGGCAACCTGTTTTGCACACAAACCCGATCAGTTAAATCTGTGAATTATTGTATATCTAATGGCATAGTTATTGGCTGGTTTTACACTTATTTACAGGTGTTGGCATACAAACACGCGATTCTTTGTTTAATGTCTGTTGTTCTCGCCTGCTTTATTATAACTATTTTTTTTTCTTGCTGGGCTTGTCCATTTGCCACCTCCTTTGTTTGATTTGTTGCTTTACTGAGTTTTTGCTTTTTGATTATTATTTATGATTTGCTTTTTTTCTGCTGTCCCTGCTTCTTCTTTTTTTCCAATTTTCATTTTATTAGTGCTATTCTATTTGTATTCTAATGAATTCTATGCTTAATTTCGGAGTGTGTCTGCTGCTTTTGGTGTTTTCAATATTCATTCGCATTAATTAAGACTTTTATTTTAATAAATATGCAAAGTCATGACCTTTAAAGTGTCGAGGTAGCTGTTGCTTACGGTATTTTTTTATTATTTTTTTTTAAGAAAATCATGCAAAATACGCTGGCCAATTCTTGTTCTCTGAACAGCGAAACTTTAAATAAAAAAAGTAATTTTTAGAAACCAAAAAAAATTTGCGCTAAGTCTCTGATCACTAGTTATAACTTCTCATTCTTACAGAATATTCACCGATGACAAATATTTTTAAACACCGAAAACTTTATGGGGAATTACAGCAACCAAGTTGAGAGGAAAATATAGCTATCTTCATATCTTTTTGACTTACATATGATATGGATCAACAATCTTCAATTCAAGTTCACTATTTACATTTCACAAAAATGTATTTATGAATATATAATACTTAACACCTTTCCAACGTGTTGTAACACTTCAATCGGGTTACATACAAAAATAGTTATGTACACAGCGCGATTCTGGCTGTTTTTATTGCTTGTCGAGGACAAAAATTTATGACGCTAAAAATTTTCGTGATCCTGTCTAATGTACTTCTGCAGATAACTTTTGGAAAGATGTTTCAGCTTTTTGAGACCAATTCGACTATGTGAAATGCACTTAAAACGGAATTTAGGTGACTATGACATCGAAACTGGTTGGCCGACTCAAATCGAAAAAAACCAGGCACGAGAAAAAAATATTCTAAATACAAAAATCCAAATTTAGAGGCACAATTAGAGAACTATATTGGAGGGTAATGGTCAAACGATTGACATAAAGAAATTAGCACATAAAAAATTTTAATAATTGCAATGTCATAAAGTCTGAAAGTAATGCGGCCAAACTTATTTCCAATCTTGCTTAAAACACAAAATACTGGCGGAAAAATAATAATTAAAAAATACCAACGGTAATTTTTAGCTGCATATTGTTGGTTATGCTCAAAAATTATGGGCTATAAAATTCCATAGTTTAAATTGTTCAAAAAATTAAGAGTAAAAAGGTCGGAATTTAGACAAAAATTTTTGGAATTTTTCTAAATGTTGTATTTAGCTTAAATCTTTGATTTTTAAGTGTTAAGTTAAGCCGAAAATAATATTCTTATCAAAAAAAATACCAAAAAATGTTTGCTTAAAAAAAAGGTGAATATTAAAAAATATCACCAAGCTGACGAGGAAGCTGGAGCTGCGGTTTACTGTTCTAAACTAAAAATTTGCAGATAATTGAATTTTAGCAATAACGAAAGTTAAATATATCCACCGAGTGTACGGGAATATATTTTTGTTGGCATTCAGTCAGCCATTAAGGCTCTACTTTCATATACCACCTACGTGAGTACCGTTAAAGATTGTAAGGTGGCAATAGAAAGGTTAGCAATGGCAAAAAAAAATCCGAAAGAGCCGACAAGCCAGCCTAAGAGAGCGAGCGAAATAAATGATTACACGAACTTGTAATGTACCGCAAGATAGACGGGATGAACTAGAATAGCGAACCTACAGATTTCTTGCTATCAATAAGATCAGCAGACTAATGACTTCTATGTAGTAGGACTGCTAATATGCTACTGTCTGCTAGTATGCATGGGTTCGAACTAGGTCTATTTTCGATATATCATTTTTCAGAAGGCAAAGTGTCGCGCTAATACTTGGTGAGGTTTGGCAGCAGGGCCAGCAATCAGCCATTGACAAAAGGCAAAAGTTACGGCAACAATACGCAACTACAATGTTCTTCAACATTGTCTCAGTTTCGTGAGCAAAAATCCACCTAAGACTTAACTGACATCGATGATGTTAATGGCTTCCTAGGAAAATTTACTATTTAATTCCAAATTTAAGATAAACAACAGTGATGAGAGTTACGTCCCAGATCGGTTCTATCATTAGAGAGTATTTTTTGTGGAAGTTGCTAAACGAGGGGATTGAAAATAACCCCTTTATTGTTTTTGATAATTTTAACGATTTAATACATCCTCTGCTGTGATAGAGTCCGTGCTTTGAATGTTTTTTTATTATTTGAACACTGACAAGTAAAAAGTACGCATGTATGTATGTATGAACAAATATGGTATTTAGTTTAAAAACTAGGCTCAAATTTTTGGTACTTCAAAAATACAACACCCTTTTGTTGGTAATTTAAAAACTACACATAAGTTTTTGGACAATTAAACCCTGGCCATAAATTTTTACTCACTTAAAAGCTCGTCAGAAATTTTTGACCAATAAAAAATGGACATCCATTTTTTGGTAACCTAAATGTTTATAGATCGGACACAATTTTTTAGTAGTTTATAAACTGCACATAATTTTTTGGCAATTTAAAAGCTGACCATAATTTTTTCCCCATTTAAAAACTGGGCATGAATTTTGATTAAAAAAAAATTATATACTGGATATAAATTTTTTGCCATTTAAAAACTGGACATAAATTTTTGGGAAACTTAGATGCTGAAGATAATTGTTTGGTCATAAAATTTTTTTAATTTTAATAATTGGGCATACATTTTTTTGTCATTTAAAAACTGAGCAACATTTTTTATTATTTTATAAAGAAGACATACGTTTTTGCCCATTTCAAAATTGAATGCCCATTTCGGTTGTTTGAAAAATAGACAAAAATGTTTGGTCTTTTGAAACCCAAACAAATATTTATGGCGGTGACAAGCACAAATAGTGTTTCACATTTGACAGATGGATAAGAATATTAACAGTAAAAACTAAGGAATGTTAAAAATCTATAACAAGCTTCAAAAGGCTTCTCTGGTGGAATACATTTTGGTCAGAAGCCAAGTAAATTAACTCATTTACATGCGCAGTGTTTTTTGTTCAATTTCCAAGTTTTTTTTTCAATTTAATAGCCACTATGATTTACACCAAATTTTCAGACAAAAAAAAATGTTATGTCCTATTTTTATGCGGCCATAAATTCATGTCGAGTTTTAAAATGACCAAAAATTTATGTGCAGTTCTTAAATTTCCAAAAACTCTTGGCCAGTTCTTTAACTGTACAAAGAATTTATGTCCAACTTTTGAGTTAACAAACATTTAGATTCAGCTTTTAATTTAATTTGTTAGCCGTTGGGCTGTCAATAAAAATGGACTCATAAAAAAAAAATTACTTACATTGCCATAACTCCTCATTGTGGAAGGACTTAGACTGAATAGACGATTTATGTGATGCGTGGGTGAGCAGCCTGAACTGGTGGTCGAAGGCGATATAGATGAGGCGAGCTCGGCGAAAATCGGAGAATGTTCTGCGATACAGAAGAAAACATATTTACATTGGAATGATATTTCGTTAAACCCGCACCAAACTCACCGCTCATGTCAATCGAGGGGGACAATTCCCTGGTGAAGCCAAACAAATCACTGCCACAACTGCCAATGCTGCTGCTACTATTTCCATTGTTGTTGGTGTTGCCGTTACGCACATCCGCCGAATTCAAGGTAATGCTCGGCTTACGCAAATTCAAAAATTTATGCGCACCGCTGGTGGGTGTGGCTGTAGCTGGATGTATCGACAAACCGCTGCTGCTATAGTTGCTACCATTGTAGAGCAACGACGATGCCGAGGATAACTGTGAGGATGGCGAGGAGCTGTTACAAACCACATTCGGCAGCTTATGTGACTCCAATGGTGAAGCGGATTTCGGAAATGAGCTAGACGCATGAAGCGATTGCGTCGGTGTAGCCGTATGGCGCTTGAGGATCGGCGCAGGCGGCAGCTGTGATGGTGAATGTTTATAATAAGTAGAAGAAGCAGCGGCACCACCCACGCCACCATTGCAAGCATTTTGTAAGGCATACGAGTCACCCTGTTGCTTGGGTATTTGCAGACGCAAAGTCTGACGAGCAGCTAGTCTACGTGCAGGCGCAAATTTGTGCGCAGACGGCGTTGATGATGAAGTGTTGTTCGTGTTGTTTGTGTTGTTTGTGTGGTTAGAGTTGGCGTTTGTGGTGGCATTGGTTGCAGTGTGGTGATATGTTGGATTTGTTTTGCTGAAAATGGTGGTGGATTGGTCGTGTGGTATGTAGCTTGAGTTGCTGTTGTTGTTTTGATAATGCGGAGCGTAGTGCTGGTAGTTGTTGTTTTGGTGGTGATGGGTGTGGTGGTGAGCAGCTGACGCCGTCGCTGCCGTCGGCGCTGATGGAGTGACCAGATGTGGCGTATGCATCTTCGGTGGTTAAGCGCTCCGAGAATCGAAAACCGTTGCGGACGCTCTCTGCAAGAGAAGGCTGAGAGATGTTGAGCGAGGGGAGCGCGTAGGTTTTGGGAGCGCCAACTTGATTTTATGAATGAATTTTCACTTCTTTTCTTTGACGCTTCTACGCGCGCAGATATTAATAGTTTCTGCTTTTATTTTTAGACAAGTTTTTTCTACCGCTGAGAGCAAAAAATTATTCTCTGTAATTATATTATTATATTATTTTATTTAACTTGCTCTAACGACCTCTTTCACATTTTCGCATCGCCTTGTGCAATTCAACGCGCGCCCGTTCCGTCACGTTCGCGGCACTAACAAATTCGATAGTCGCTCATTGTTAAATTAATTAAATTTTTTCGTTTCATTGGCACCGCTAAGCTCTAAGCCCATATTTGGATTTATAACATAAATTAGCACTTACAGATTTCGCACTTATTTGTTATTCTTTTTCCTTCTGTTTTATTGTTTTTTTTGCGCTTTGGTTTTTACAACGTTTTACATTGGTGCGAAATTCCTTTTTAATTTGGCTTTTGTTTTTGCCAAGTGACGCGCGTCGCGTCGCGCCGCCGTTCACCACCTCATGTGACCCACTTCGAAGTCACGCGCAGAAAGGCAGCGCACAGGGGAGTATGTGAATTGAGTGAGCGAGCGGTGGTGGCGTAGCACGAAATGGCACACTTGGCACCTTGTAAAAGTGCGATTCTGCCGGCCGCCAATATAGTCTGACGCGATACGCCGCAACGCATCCACTGTACATAGGCAGACAGACGACAATCAGCAGTGCAACAAGCGATCCGCTATCGGACAGTTGCCATATAAATAAAAGTGTGGGCAAAAGGCCACCGCCACCGACTGCAATGCAAGCACGCAAATATTCGCTTAAACAGATTTGCAAAATTTTTATTGTTTCACTGGCGCTTTGAATGCCGCCACAATACAGGAAAATTGCATTATTCATAAAGCGCACAGCGGCGAATGCACAGATGCAAAGAGACACAATCGACGTTGGTGATTGGGCGTGGTGAAGGCACTGGCGGCGCGCGTACATCGGCCGACTGATGAACTTGATTGTTTCTCGGAATATGCGCCACGCACGGTCGTCGCCGCAAATTCGGCCCCCTCATTCGGAGTCAGTCAGTCATCCACTGCGCAGGCGTGGGAGTTGCGCCATTAATTGTGCTCATTTAAAGGCACGAACAACTTGAAAATATAGCCTGTTTTACTTCTTTTATTGTTCACTTTTTTATTTATTCAAATTGGCTTTATTCGCATTTCATTTGAGCTGCCTCGATTTTTTTGCTTTCAAAGTGATTTCTCGCACATTTTGTTTGTATACGCTTTACTGCTGTTTGTTTAAATGGATTTTTATCTGTAAATAAAAGAATAAAAGAAACAAAAAGAAAAAAATTAGTTTGAATTCAACTCAGTTCGTTTACGGCAATGACTACACAAAGCAAAAGACTCGCATGCGTTTGATGTAGCACATTTGCCAGCAGAGTTAAGTATCCCATATTGTCTAGTGGTTAGGATATCCGGCTCTCACCCGGAAGGCCCGGGTTCGATTCCCGGTATGGGAAAGCTTTTTTTTTAGTTTTGTTTTTTACTAATTTCTATTTTTTCAATGAATATTTATTTTAAACTTCATTCAAATAAAATGGTAAGCTATGTATCTTACTTCTTTAATAAAAAAATAATAATGAAGTTAAATGAAATTTTTGAACAACAACCTAAAGATTTTTAGAGGATAAAAAAGGTAAAGATCATTTAAAATATTTTTATAATGATTTAAGATATCAAAGAACTTCGTAATAAAATATCCACAATGTTTTTCAAAAATTCACAAATTTTCATCAAAATTTCGCTCTTTTAATTCTAAATCTTTAGTACTCTTTAGTATCTTTTGGGTATGCAGTTTTGTAGCCCCTACATTTTTAGTCTAATGACGGTCTTGCGAATTTTATTTAACAAGAAATTCATATTTACATGGAAAAAAGTGCAAAAATCCACAAACATAAAAATTATTAAAAATCAACGCGATTTTTTTTTTCAGCCTTAAACTTGCACTTTATTAGACTAAAATTTTATGAGCTATAAAACTGCATACCCAAAAACGTTCTAAAACTTCAGATTAAAAAGTTCAAAACGTTGATGAAATTTTTTTGATTTTTTTCCACAAAATTTTGTATGAAACTCCGAATTACAGTGAAACCACCCGGACACTCACAATTCCACAATTTTTGTACGCTTATGAGAGTTGAAGAACGAAACTTGAAGTAAAATTTATAAGCACACTCCTTCGTACAAATATGGACATTTTTTCTCCGTTTGGGCCTTTGGGCCTTTTTTTGTCTGTTTTGGACCCTTCTGAAGCAACTATGCATCACGCCAAAGTATCAGTATCTTTTATTTCTAAACTATATTTGATGGAAATGCCTTATTTGCGCAACTAACTTCCAATTCGGCTTTTAAACATGGTCGCGTATATTGGATATTTCCATCAATTATAGTTTAGAAATAAAAGGGACTGATGCTTTGACTTGATGCGTTTCTGAACACACGGAATATTCACATTTATTATTCTATATAACACATAATCAAAATCTATTTTTATATGGACGAAAAAGCGCAATACCCTCCACAAAAAAAAAAAATCTAAAAATCAACGGTAATTTTTAGCAACTTGAAACTTGCACTTTGTTATACCAAAAACTGAACGCGCTACAAAATTGCATACTCGAAAATTTTCTAGAAGTTCTGAATAAAATTTTTTGAAATTTTGATAGTTTTTTTTTTTTTTAATTTTTATGAACTTTATATAAAGTATGCAACTTTGATTTATATGGTTTATATACATATAAAAATTCATATACATATGCATGTAGGTTTTTGTTGTCGCTGAATCCGAATATGCGGGTCCCTTGATTCTTCAAAGTTATCTAGAGGTCATGCCAAGGTCATCTCAAGGTCAAATTCAGAAGAATTTTTCCCTACTTTACCTTCAAATGACCTCGAACCTGGCGTGATGGAGACTAACACAACTCGGATTCGTATTCAGAGCGTCGAATACCATAGGGATATAGAGGTTACACCTATTACAGCCCTTTCTTCTATAATATTTTGTGTGTGTGTGTGTGTGTGTAGGTGTCATATTTGGACTTTAAAAAAAGTGTCTGTTAAGACCATCTCTAGAAACTAAATTTGCTACCAATTTCAATGAGTATTTTCCAATGATAAATACTGCCTCTACGAACATTGAAGCAAATATACCTTTGCTTTTCTAAATTAACTGCCATTCTCATAAATAGCCATACATATTCATCAAATCACAATAGAATGTTTTTTTTACTGTAATCCGCATTCATATTGGCGCTGACCTTTAGCAATTAAATCCAAGTAATTGAAGCTCAACTTGACCTACAGTACAGTACACGTCCTTTTTCAGCCATTTAACTGAGAATTGCCAGCGAACAAACACAACACGATCAAGAACAAAAAACAAAAAAAAAACACTAAAACAGAATGAAGGCAACAACTCAGCATTGCATTTGTGTTTAACATTCCAAATATTTATTTTTTTTCACACATTTTTTCTTTATGATTAATGAATAAAATTACAACGTTAAATGCAAAAAATATTACGGCCGCAATTTCAAGTCATGCTTGCTTTCAACAAATCAATAGCAACTTCTACTTGCATGTATGTATGTATGCATATAGCTTGGGCGACTCCGGTTGCGTTGACTAGTGACGACTAGCTGTTTGCAAAGCTCGGCAAATATCTTTGAACGCAGATTAGTTAAATCATGCGGAGTTACTTTAATTAGTTAGTTACTGAAGTTTCATTGCTGCAATCAAGCGCACTCAGAGGTGCGTACACAATTGCAATTTCGCAACTGGCGACATTAAAGGCTTAAATGTGCATAAACTCATACATACAGTGCGCGACATAATGATAAGTTCGCCTTATAAGTTTCGACGATTTTTTATTTTTTTTTTTAATAATGTTAATTATTTGTTTATACATATTTAGTTTATTCTTTAAAAAAGCCATAAATACAAGTCTGTGTAATATTAAAAAAAAAATCAACAAACTTTCGTAAAAATTTTAAGCTTTCTAATTATTCGTATTTTCTGGAAAGATTTTAATTTTGAAAAGATTTTAATTTTTGAAAATTTTTGTGTCACTGATTTTTTTCCATACGAACCGTCCAACACCGTCATAAAAAAAAATATTGCCAAAAATCAACGGTATTTTGTAGACACTGCAAACTTGCACTTCATTATACCAAATTTTTCTAAGAAATTTTATTAAAAAGTTTGCACTTTACGAAAGTTTGTTAATATTTCGCAAAGTTTGAAACTTGGATTTACAATTTTTTTTTTATTAAAAATAAACTATATTTTAAGGAAAAATAATTGAAATTATTTTGAAAAGAAAAAACCCTCAAAAGTGATCAATATAGAGTGACCTTATCATTATGTCAGGCACTGTATGTGTTTGTATGCCCACTTGTAGAGTAGGTATTTTGTAGAGCTTTTTTCGAATCCGTGAATTACCGGCAGGCATTCGACATCTAAACAAGCCCCACATGCGTATTTCTTATTTATTTGTTTATAAATATTTAAATTTTTCCAATTATTTATTTAATCTTTTTTTCTTGAAACTTTTGCTAAGTTCATACAATTTGTTAAATTTGCATAATTGCGCATATTTTCATTAAACTTAAACACATGTGCATACGTATGTATGTATGTAAGTGCATAAGTGATTTAGTACAGTGCAGCAAAATGTGTAATGTACTCGAACTTTTATGGTGAAGCGCTTTAAATATGTCAAGGCAAGACATGTGTTCGTTTTCGTTGCTTTATTTTAATTGTTTATGTATTTTGTTATTTTCTTACTATTTTTTTTTTTTTTTTTTTTTGTTATTTTAAAGCTGTAGTGCACTTGGCGTACATACATTCGCGTAATTTAAGAAATTTATTGAGCTCTTTAATTCTTTATTGCGGCAACCTTTCGCATTGACACTCATTAATTTGGATTTCATTGGACTTTGCACTTGGCGTTGGTTTGTGACATACAATCGATGCAAAAGAAAAAACAAACTAAAAAACAACAAAGCGCTGAGTATTCTATTGTGTCAAATTTTTTTTCACATTTGTCAGCACCAAAAACAAAGAAGTTGTAGATGCCAAAAGTTTTAGTGGAGAAATTAATGAGC